CAAAAAGACAGTTCTACTTTATGGCTGTCAACAATATTGTAGTACTCCACTAGTGCCCATAAAGATATTGCTCAAAGAAGGCATGAGTTGTTTTTTTTCAACATACAAGAAATAGCCTGACAAATAATAGAAAAAGAATTCAAACTGGAAATACTAGTTTAATTGTGCATTTTGAGGTCCCGATTTTACACTGGTTTTTTTTTGTAGTGAGTGGAAGCACCTGATAAATGACATTGCTTATATACCACAGAATAGCTCTCTCCCCAGTGAGTCTGCACCAGACTATGACAAATAAATCTTGCCAGACGATTACTTCACAGGTCCTTAATGAAATTAGTGATGAGGTCAAAGACATTTGCTGGCAGTAAACCACTTCTAATCTAGCAGAGGACTTTGTATTTTGAGGGCTAGCTGTAGCAAAAAAACCCTTTCTGCTAAAACACCACCAAGACGACACACACAATTCCCCATGCAAAATTTACTTCCTTTTTTATTGACGGTCTCCAAGATACACATTTAATATTTCTTGGCCTTCTGAGCTTTTTTGCACTACATTTCCAGTAATTACTTTTGTGATAGCAAATATTTGGGTAGAACAAAAGCATCTGCATTGGACTGCTACTTTGCTCCGAAACACCAACCCACCTGCTTCTTTTTGAGTCTTTGTGTGTAGAATAGCAGCGCTTCCCAAAACTTTTCTGTTATTTCTCTTTGAAACTAGTTTTGAGACTCTGAAAGCAACAGAATAGTGACTTACAGTTTAGGAAGAGAAGGCATATTAGCAGCTATTAATTTAGAAGAGTTACGACTCCTGTGCCAGATGCAGAACTGCTACAGATAGAAAGACATGATCATTTAACAAAACATTCACCATCACATTGAGCAGCGATTAGAAGTTGTTACATGTTAGACCAGAAGAATGTATTATTCTATCTTAATGGCAGGCTGTCCAGGAGACAAAAAACAAGCTGGCAAACAACAGAATAGGTTTTGATAAGCAGTCTGGGAGCAATTATAAAGCAATAGAGTATCCATAAAATTCATATCCTATTTCCAACCTCAGGCTAGGTACAGACCTTAATTTTTTTTCCAGTGCTTGGAGCTAACCAATTAGAGCTAAAAGATGACCAGAGAGGAAAACAGTCTCTGGAAGAGTGGGCGAGTCAGGAGGACAAAGTCAATTTTACATGAGCAAAACAGGAAGGAGGAAATATTGCCAGCTGAAGATAAAGGACTGTGTCAGCCACGCTCTGTGGTGGGTTCTGCAGGCTGCCAGACCTACGCGACTTCTGCATGGAACATTTTGTGAGGTGTGAATACAGGCTTTAAAAAGGGAAATACTTTCTTTCTAAATAAACAATGCATTATTTTCAGAAGATCACCTGGGGTGCAAGAGGGGTGCTCACTAATATTATTTCTTCCAGGTAAAAGATCTATCCCTAAGACAAGCCAGGGGAGGTAATCACAGCTGGTCCCAGGTAGAACACTGCCCAAAAGGTTGGCCTTTGAGTTGGAAAAAAATTGAAGGAATCCATCTTAAGAAAGGCTTATGATCAGCATCATTGACCTGGAGGGGAGATATCTGGTACTATCAGGAGTCTTCTCTCCAAATGTGCTGGAGATAGTGCTTTGAAATATATAGCAAAACAAACTGTTGGTACTACACTGATTAACTTCTTTTAAAAGCACACCAACATTGACAGGATGTAAAAACACTGTTTTATCCTGGGCTGCCTGCCTCCATAGGAGTCAGTGATTTTTCAGATGGTACCTCCCATGTAAAGGTTGCTATTATTGCTCTTTTATAGTCATGGCAAGGCAGTGTATTTCTTCTGGATCGCTCCATCTTGCAATACATCCAACAAAGCTAGCTCTCATTCTTCCCCTGTCACTGCTTGACAGTACATCCAAGTGCTCAAATTCAGTCACTCACTGACTGTAATGTCATGCATTTGTTACTCTATGCCGCCTTTCAAGCGGAAGTGATCTTCCTAAGCTAATTTTTCTGAACAATTTGTGCTTTTGGATATCCAGCTGTTCTTCAACATTCTTCCCCAACAACTTGATCCAAAACATTCCAGTTCATCTCTCGCTGTATTCAGTGTCTAGCTTTTGTATCCCTCCTCCCTATGCACCATACTGACCACTGAAATGTGAAGTAAATGTTTAAGTTTAGACACTCCAACAAGGGTCACTTCTAGACACATTTGGGTCAGTATTATGGGGCTCATGCCAAAGGATTTTGTATGTTAGCTGAGCAATGCAGTGTATTTGTTCCGATTGCTTCAACCTCTAACCAACTACATGACATCCTGAATGATTCCTTCTTTAAAATATATAATGAAAAAACTTAATATGAAAATAAAAAAGCAGGAACAAACTCATCTTGATTACATACAGAGACCAACAAAACAGTATGAGATGTCTATAGTTTGGGCCAGCTAAGACCTTAATTTTTTATGTATTATTCTTTCGTTTAGGATATACGTCCAGGTAATGCTTATGTTTTTTGCCACCTACAGAGCCCTGAGGTCCCTCAATGCAGCTTTCATCTTCTTTCTTGATACATGCCATCAAACTATGATTCCAAAAAGCGTTGTCATTAGGAAGGGAGCCCCCAGGCACCACGTTACACAGTTGCCTGGTTCATATCAATGTGAATGGGGAAAAGTAATCAACCACTTTTAAATACAGCTTTAAAATCATGCAGTTGAACTTGCCTATACAAATTACATGAAGTATCCTGTAGTCATTCCATGCAGTAGTGAAATTTACTACAATATTACTTACAATAATGTAAGACAATAACAACCAGAGATACACAGTAGCATCAGGTTTTTCTCCCTTCAAAGAGGTTAAACAAAGCAGTAAAGCCCTCCTAGCCTAAACTGTACATTAGACCTCTAGAAAGTCTGGAACAGTTTCAGATTTGGTACAAACTATAGATGTATTATTCTGTTACTTTTCTTGCTTTCCCCCTCATTGGATTCCTGTTGTTCTTTTTCTTCAGAAATGCTTTTTTTAAACATCTTTTTTTTTCCCATCTTGCAACTCTGATACTCTTTCTCCATTCCCTCACTCATCAGTTATTTGCTGCCTGGTTTAGAGGAAGACTCACACTGAGACAGGCTAATCATAGCAGCAGAGGCAAGAAGCCAGCCCCTACTCCTGCATCCCCTGTACCTGTGAATGAGTCTCACTGCCTACTGTGTTACGTACCATGATGCATGCAGGGTGTAAAAAGGGGCTCTTCCAAGAGCACACACTCTAGCAAGTCTGTGCCTAGCATGAACTTGTGGCTTTCACTACCAGTATTAACTATTTCTACCAGAAACAACCTATGCTGCTACTCCTTGCAAGGCCTTTCTGCAAATGAAGATTGGCACTGATAGAAGCATAGCAGATAATATTCTTTCCTGCTTTGGAGAAATCAGCTTACCAGACAGCATAAAGGAACCCACCAGGCAGCCCTCCAGGCTACTTTGCTGCTTTGTTTTGTCCTCCCCTGAAACATAAGTTACCAGTAAGTGCTGGAGGAAAGATCCAGGACTTGATGGACCAGTTGGTTCATCTGACATGGCAAATACTCTGTTCCTCACATGAACAACCAGTTTCTTTTTCCTCTTCCACCTCTGTCTCATATATCTTTGAGAGTTTGTAGTCCTTAATGAACATCTGACCTTTGACTGTATGATGTGACCTTTGACTGTAAAACATGAGGTTTTTTACTACACTTATCACTTTCAAACAGCAAAACACAATTTAGCAGCCACTGGAGTATTTCCTGTTTCAATCATACCCATGTTCACACTCTGAAGAGATGTTGGCATCATTTGAAGAGCTTTTCCATTACTAATTTTCACTTTGTTCTCAAAGATGTGCACTGACAGTCTTAGCTCCTCACATACACAAAGTAAGCAACCTCAAAACCACAGGCAGCAGACCTATTGTAAATGGCAATGTGCAGCTTACAGTGAAATGCATTATATGCTGATACAGCAACATAGTTCTAAAAGATCCTAAAGCATTCAAGCTCACATTTAGATAGCCTCAATCTCGATTGTGACCTTCCTTTGCTCTGGTTTAGACAACATCCCACTCAGCTGCTGGACTACATCTGTGGAGGAGGCCACTCCCTCTCTCCACTGAGAAAGCAGGCTGTCTAAAGACAATGCCACATGGGTTTAAAACATCCATTAAATACAGGCAATTCTGAATGGAGGTTGGTTTTCCAGCAATGCAACAGGATTTTCTGCAGTTTGGCTGAGAAACTTAGTATGCAATCACCAGAAAGTATTACAGTAGCTTTAATTTTTGCACAGAACAGACAAATTCATTGTTTTGAAAGGTCATGACAGTAAATCGCAAGGAATTCAATTTATCTCCCTTGGATGGATGAAGCACTGAGTCAAACATAGAACAGTGGAAACCTCTGGCTCCAAGAAGTCTGTGCTGGTTCAAACCTGGTCTTAGGCAGCCAAACTGTCCTTTTGGCTATACGTTATTACAGCTTGTGATTTTCAACTGATCTTTTTTCCCCAGCTGTGCAGCAAATTGTGTCATACATGAGCATCAAAAGAATGGTCAATACATGAAGAATTTGTTTGTTTTTAACCAGGAAGTTTACCAAATATAAAGTTATTTGTGATACAGACAGACATCATCATAGTTGTCTCACACTCATTTCTCCACATGTAAAGTGACATATGAAAAAGTACAGGGAGATATATGGGAGGAGACACCATCAGCACAATACAGAAAGACAAATACTGGAAAAGCAAACAAGCATAAGGATTAGTTTTAAAAACAGAAAGACCATGAAGACAGAAAATCAAAAGAACACCCTGACCCTCACATGTTCTAGCTTCACAGTACAGCCAGGAGGAGAGTGACACACGAGTACCACACCTGATTTAACAGGCTCCTTGTGTATAACTGAGAACAACAGAGCTAATGAGCAGATCGCTCCTGACTGGATGTATCGCTTCGTGCAATGACTCTTACCTAAAGCTTTCTGGGTATTCAACAACAGCCATGTTGATAACATCCAGTGCATGCTGATAGTGCTTCTGAGCTGAAAAGAGGAGGGCCAGTAGATGAAGTGAATTCATGTCATCTTTGCACAGCTGCAGTGCTTCTTGAAGATGTTCTATAGCATCGGAAATCTGGGAGGAGATGGGGTAGAAATAAAAAGAGAACACATTTCTCCTTCAGTCCTACATCATATCCCAAAGGTAAGAACAAATACAGTCATTAGAAATTCTGAAGAAATCCTGCTTAGGCACCTATGAGAAAGACTTCTACTCTCTGAAGTTTGACAAAATTAGCAGACTGCACTGCTTGAAAAAAAACCACACGCTCTAGAGAAAAGAGTCTGCAGCATTACTAAATCACTGCATATAAACAGGAGCAGCAGACCTGACCCAATCAACCCCTTCTTACTTTGGCATGGTGCTTCTATGCTGTAAAAAGATCACTACAGAGGCCCAATTCTCCACTGCATTTTCTAGGATGGGTGGCTGGCTCTTCACCTGGGGGAGAGCATTACGCATCTGTGCTGCATTTTGTCTCTTCTGATGGCTGTACAAGGCCTTCCATGATTTGGATCAAGAACATAAAAATTAAGTTTGAATGTTCAAGGGAAGAGAATCAAGATTCAAAATGCTGTCAGAAAAAGAAGTATCTTTGCAAGCAGTGATGTAAAGAGTAGTCCTGACACAGCAGTAGCATGTCATTAGAATCAAGTCTCACTTGGCAGAAAACTTAACATCTGTAATGAATGCAAGTATATCACATGCTCTTTATGTTCCAATCCCTATTTTAGGCTATCTGTTCAAAACAGAACTTCTTAGTAGATTTTCTTTCCTTTGGCTACCAGTAAGTTTTATATGGAGGATTTTCTTTAAGACTCTCTAGTGTCTGAAATTACTGTTACTTAAATTATTCCAGATCTGTGTTTGGCCCTGGAAGCCTGCAGAAAACAAAACAGAAAAATGTATAGATTTCTTTTCCTCATATATACCTTCCCTCTCCTTCCCTTAAGGGATGGAGAACATAGCTCCTTCTTTCCTACTACAAGAGCTTCCCACCTAGCAAAGCTCTGCAGATATTCTCCTGCCTTGGCATACCACCAGTGTCAAATTCCCACTGCCTCCACAGATCACTCAGGAAAACAGGTAGCACATAACTAAGGAAACCAACAATTATGCTGCCTGCAGTTACAACAGAGGTTGCCGATTATCCAGATGCCAGGTATTCTTCTGGAAGCGTGGTACATATTTCTGTTCACGGGACAGCTTCATCGTAATGTCCGAGTGACATTTCACTCTTACTGTGCATATGCAAGCCAAAGTACTTAACTACTCTATTACTGGTGACTTCATGCAAGTCTGGAGATCAGTGCAACTGCTCCACAGACATAACCCCAAACTGGCATCTGGCCCACAGCTTCAAAACTGCTGAATGTCCTGGCTTAGATTCAGGATGGGATATATGACTGAGTGCTCAGCTTTAATGAATTACTGCTTGTCAGTGGAGCTACTTTAACCACATGCGTTATTATAGCCTACTGCAAAGGTAAACACATTGGCTGAAATCACCAATGTTCCCTCAGCAGCTTACTAGGACATATTTTCTTACAGTATAAAAACACCAGCAATGACAAGACAACTTGGAACCAGCACAATAGGCATGAGACTGTGGTGGGCCCAGATCTGCCTGTCCACGAAGTTCTTCAGTACGTATACCAGAGGTATATAAGTCTGACTTGCTAAAACAAAGCTGCTATCAAGACTCTTCTTGCACTCAGGACTAAAAATACCTCTTTTTTTTTCTATTCTTCTGTCTCAGACCTGCACAGGTTGTCATAAAGAAATTCCAAGCTTAGGGGAAAAATAAGCTCATTAGAAGAAAATCTGTAAACCCAACTGGAGGGGGCTTTGAGCAACCTGTGCCAGCTGACCCTGCTTTGAGCAGGGACTGAACTGGGTGATCTCCAGAGGTCCCCTCCAAACTCAACTACTCTATGATTCTATTTAAAGACTTGGGAAGGTGCTCCTAATTTGCTAGTATGATCAGACAAAGAATAATACTTGCAACTAGCATCTTTACTGAGGGACTTTGAAACTGTAAGGATACTTAACCTTACTTGCACGTAAATAAAATAGCACAAAAGCCAGTTGTGGTCGCTCCTGCAAACCTGCGCCTGTTGAACACGCAGTCACATACTGTTGAAATAGATGTAGCCTAAAATCATTTTCCCCTGTTCTGTGGCACAGGGCTTGCAATGGTTACATCTCATTTCAGTGCTTCCCTCTAGTACCATCACAGTCACAGACAATGGCTGGTTTTGGAAATCAATCATGCTTCCCTGACATCTGATTGTTTAACTTGAGCCCAAAAGGATTCCTTAGTGCTGTAACACCATTAGTAGGCTACACAGTACTGCTGCATAATTAGAAACAGCGGACAAAACACCAACCTGCAACAGACCCAGTGCAACAAAATACAAACTAAATTTCTAGAACAATAAGAGCAAGACACTTGGCAGCAGTCAACACAAACTTCTTTTGAAAAGCAGAGATCATCAATCTATTGACAGATGCCACAGCTTATTTATTTAAGTAACTACATAATATGAGAAAGATGGGAGCTGGCAGCCCAGATGGCACCCTGAAACTTTAGGGCTGTATCAGAGGTAGGCTGCCAGTTTAAAGTGCAGCACTTGTAGGGAGTTTAAAGTAATCTTATTTCAGCTGGACTGCAAGTCTGAGTGGGGCCTGCAATTAGAAGATGCTACTCTTCTCTGATTCACCTTTCTGTTAATAAATATACCACGGTATTCTGCATGGCACACAGGTATATTCAGATCACACTGATTAGGAAGCAAAGACACTGCAGTAAGCCACAAATAGCATCTTGCAGCACTACCAAAATAATGCCACAATATGGATTGTTTAGGCTGCCTCTTATATAATAAGATTTATTTTAATACTGCTATATGCTTCCTTAAAAAAAATGCTGTGATGTTACAACTCTAGGTATAAAAAGGAAAACAGTACGAGTGTTAAAAATACTTCCCAACAGTAGAATGCACTTGCATATTTAGAATGGTAAACGAAACAGGATCTCATAAGAAGAGTTTTCAGGCCTTATAATTTCACATCAGTTGTGAGTTACAGTTAATTAAGCATTAAAACTATCCTCTCCATCTCTTTTTATAGCATGGGGATTATAGAAAGGAGAAAGCTTTATTGACTGGCAAGACCTTCCGTTGAAAACAGACTTGCTGCAGTCCACCAGAACTTCAGGAAAGCAGGCACAAACATATCTGTTATTACTTAATTCTTACTACAAGCTGGTTTTGATCACCAGAAAAATCTAGGCCAGGACCTAGACAGAAAAGCAGCATGTTGCTGTTCAGCAGAGGAGGAACTAGCTGGTCTGGGATAAACACAGATCAGAACTACCCACACATCCAGCAGCCACCAAAAGCAGCACCTCTCAATACCTACTAAAACAGAGCTCCCCTCCTGGGGCAAAGGAAAGACAGCAGTCTTGCCTTCTTGAAACCAGAATAAAAGCTGTCCTGGAGAAAACAGCTGAAATATTTTCTCTGGTGTCTTAATTGATGTTTATCTTATTTTTACATACAGACACTCTAGAAGGTGGTAGGTGTTTTCTGGATATTGCCACTTGAAACTTCAGGTCTGTTGGCAGCCCACAGATGAAACTGATAAGCGAGACCTCTAATTCTCAGCTGCTGGCCCCTGGCTGTCTTTCCCTTCCTATTTGCATGCAAAGGAAGGTCAAATCAAATCAAATCAAGTATTAAAATGGTACAAACCCCCCATATGTTGTCTTTATGTATCCGATACTGATTTACATGGCATTCAAGGTCAAAACCACCACCACCACCCAAAATGAGAAGGGAACCCGCACTTAAAATTAACAAGAGCGCTGACTCTCTGGAGTCATTTCCATAGAAACTGGCCTGCTAAAAAACAAGGCAAGGCATTAAAATCAGTGAGCTTTAAAATGTTCATTCTACCTTGTTTTTGCTGATCCAAATGCTGTTACCACAGAAACAGGAGAAGCAGCCGAACCAGCTGCCAGGAGTTGGGAGTTACAAGTCTCATTTGTCAATTGGCTCGGCCAGCTGCCAGCCAGGCGCTGTAGGTGGAGATAATCACCACAGCAAATACTGACCTTGGCCTTGTGGCAGTTCAACTTTGGGAGAAAACCAGATTGAGACCCTCCTTACAGAAGAGGGTATTCTACTCTGTGCTTTGCTGAAAAATCCACCCCAAAATGCTGTGGGGCTGACCTAGACCCTCCAGGAGTCACTAGAGTCCTCCCAAGTGACTCTGGTGGTCTTTAGGGGACAGAGCCACACACGCGAACACAGGCACAAAGCACATCACCATCATCTTTCATTTTGGTTGCTGGTGGTTTTCAACTGCCAACTCTGTGAAAACCTTTTATAACCATTCCTCCTCTTGTCATGTCCTCATCGCGTGTCAGAGGGAAGCTTATGCTTTTCCATTTCCCCTCTTCCCTGCCCAGTGCTGACAGAGACAAGTGATGCTGGAAATACTTTACAGTCTTCCAAGGAAGATGAATTGCTCCAACTTTGCTTAGCACTCTACCAGTCAGCTGCCTCTCTTGCTTTGTTCCATGAAAACACTCTCTTATCTATGCAAGCTGATATCTAGATTTTTCAGTGTTGGGTAAGGTTACCTCATTTATTGACCTTGACTATGGAAACAAAAAGGCCTATTTGTTGAGAATAACATTCAGGTATTATACTATAACCTACTGTGTAGGAATGGCCTGATTTGTTGGTACTGTAGCGTCACTTGATGAAAGCCCTAACTGTGACATTCAATAGTTAATGCAATCTATCAAAAAAAGGTATCATTTATCTTTCAGTTAATCAGAAAGAGAACATATTAGATACTTTAAATAATTAAGGATATTAAAAATGCATTACCAAATGTTTATCATTAAGTAAACTGGCAAAAGAAGAGTAGGATATTTTACAGCAGTCCAAAAATAAAGATGTCTCAGGTATCTCCTCTCTCTCCAGGCATGCATTAAAGATTTATATCTCACTAGACGGTGAAGCGCAGGAGCAGCATCGCAGGGGTCAGGCTGACACTACATAACACACTTAGATCACACATCTATGGTAGCAGGGGCGACTGGCAGAATATCAAGAATGAAAATACACAGGTGAGGTAGACAAAAGAAAGTGAACATGAGGACAAGAGACTGAATGGAAAGAACAGGAGGGAAGGGAAATGATGAAATGAGACATACGAAACAACACTGTAAAGACAGGCTACAACTGGAGAAAAAGAAAGGATAATGAGTTAAAATGCAGTGGACCAATAACAGTAAAAACAACAAAGAACCAATGACCACCAAAATCTCGATTTTATTTTTAAGGATAGCAGCTGAAAAGCTGTAATGCTTTTACTCATGCCAAGAAGCAGAAGGGGCAGCAGATCAGAGAACCTCCCTAAGAGGCAGAAAGAAGGTTAGCTGGATATTTTTTAATGAAAGACCCTGAGCAAACTGCATCATAAAGCAGCCGTAGGCAGATGAGAAAGTTAAATATGACATTTTAATTATCCTTTCTTATTGCAGGCTTCCTCACAACGCACTGCTCTCATTATGAAAGGGTTACAAAAGTGACATTATCAAGAGTGTGCTCTCTTGGAACAATTAGTTTAACCTAATGAACACACAGCTCCCCTAATTAGCTCAGGAAAGTAGGAAGGATCCAACTGTTTGACTCTGTAGTGTAGACTAAGGAGAGAAAACTGCAGCAAGCAGAAAGCCTGCCAAAGAAGGAAACTATGATGATGAAATTTCAAATCTAGCTAGAGAAGCATTTAAAAAATAGGGGCTGTTCCAATAAAGACTTTGGCTTTTAAACAGAAGGGACAGAGAAATAAAACACATCCCAATTATAAAAAGAAGGGACAGAAAAATAAAGCACAGCCCAAATGTTTTTTCTGAAAGGCAGTGCAGTGTATTTTCTGATCAGTTTAATTTTTATGAGTTAACACCTGCAGCAGCGTTCAAATGCCAACTAATCCCACTCACTGCAGAGCTCCAGCACCCATCAAAGCCTAACGCCGAATGTGCCCAAGTATGGAATAAACCAATCCCCAGCGCAGACAGCATGCGATCTGGTGTGATACAGAACCAGGCAGTAGCAAAAGAGCCTTTGGAGTAGCCTGCAGCAGGACACAGCATGATACCCAGGGAACAGAAATAAATACACCTCGCTCGCCCCACCCGGACAAGTTGCTCCAAGTGAGAACAGCACTGCTCATGAGTTAGAGCTGAATGCCTGCCCTAGGGAATGTCGTTCCATGTGCTACAGAATTATATTTAAAAAATAATAACTAAAAAATATCTTACACAAACATATTCTGATTGACTGTTATCGAATACAATGTGGGAAGGAAGGGACTGTTTAGAAAGTCTGGGTCTTGTTCAACTGTGCTGTCCTTCTCCCACCCTCTCATGACTCAGTGGTTGCCAGTTATTGTACATACCTGTCTGACAAGAGCCAGCTGCAGTGATAGGTAGAGGATGATTTGGTGATCTTCTGGGTCCAAGTCACGTGCTCTTTAAGGACAACCACACAATACAAAAAGAAAAGTGACTGTTAGATTGTACTTAGCAGAACTCCTTCACCATGAGTCACACACAAGCACAGAACAAAACCCAGTCAGTCCTCTCCTACGGAAAACTAGTTCAGTAACAGGGGAGCACACCGAAACTAGACAAAAAGCACATCAACGCTGGCCTGGCTAAGCCAGGCTTGCAGGACCAAGTATGAAAAACACAACTGCCAGGATGTTATACAATGTACGTGCTCCTTCATTAAATGCCAATTAATATTTTGGAACTTGGATAACTGATATGGAGAAAGTTCTTAACTCATGACAAACCCATTAAAGCATTATTTTCAGTAATTTAGGTGAGGAAGATAGCTGTCCAACTTGTTCCTGTATTGCCACTTTTCAAACAGTAGGAGAGGGTTAGGTTAGCACTGAAAAAGTAATAATTGTTTCTGCTATTATTGTGACTATGAGCATCTCGAGGACTGAAGATCAGGAGCCTATGACGTGAGCTGGTGCTCATACACACAAAACATCCTCCACCCTGCAGCTTCTAGTCTAACTGTTGACAGTAGACTCCTAATTTGGAAAGGGAAGACCCTAAGGGAGGAATGAGGATTTCATGGCAGGAGCTGAGTCTGGCCCAAAACCAAGGCCCTTACTTCTCAAGCTTGGACCTCTTAGATATTACCTTCTGGTCCACAGCAGGCAACAGTGTGCACTGCAGTGATCCCTTGGCTAGTGAAGGCTGCAGTGTCTCCAGAACCAGATGCAGTGGCCCTTCACACAGGCTTGTGTAAGGCAGGGAACAGGGATGGACAACCAGGGCAGAACTGTCCCTCTCAGACTATGCTAAGCATGAAACTGCAGTCTCGGCTTGCTAGCCTGTGGAGAAGCCATTAACCAAGGCAACGTGAAGATAGTGTTTTGGGGACCTAACCTAGGAGCAACGTGGGGCACTGGCTCATGCCACACTGGCAGCCCAGCCCAGGGACCAGTGGATTATCCCCTCACTGACCCACAGAGCTCACTCCTAGCTCTGCAGCACAGGGAAGTCATTTCACATGGAAGAGGTGGGGAAGAGGAAGGTCCTTCATAGCCAGCTGACGTTCCTGACCTCTTTCTGGGCTGCATTCCAGGACACTAGGGAAGCCTGCACCTGCATCGCCCTGCCCAAAGTGAGCACGATTAATGTCCTTATGAGGGAGAAACAACCGGCTGACAAGGCTGGTGGTTAAAAACTCTGCCAAAACTATTCATTTGCTAACAATAAACAAACAACTAAACTAATAAAAATTAGAGAATTACTTCAGGAAACAAACCACACCATTTTAATGGCAGCCACCTCCCAAATGCTGTCTTGGCCTGTGAGCAAGAAGCTAAGCTGTTGGAGTTGACTTTTATAACTAATGGCTCTAGAACTAATTAATTTAGTATGGACTGAATGTGTCCTGTAACTCCGCAAGTCAAGGTAGCACTCAAGGATTCTGAAGCAATGCTAAAGACATTAAGGTGCAATTAGTACAGGCACGTCACTAATTTCTCCCCCCACTTTAAAAAACCAAAAAAACCCCAAAACAACTAAAAAACCCCAACAACAAAAACACAACCAAAAAACCCGCAAACCAAACAACAACAGCAAGACTCTACAAGATAGAACCCAGCTTTGCCCTAAGCTGTTGGAGCAAGGGTGAGCCAGCTCTTTAGCAAGCAGCTCCTGTGAATCCTTCAGTAGCCTGTCCAACAATAAATAACAGGGGAAAGTTCACATGGGTGTATGGGAGAAGAGATTAACTGTGCTTTTGGAAAGAAACAAAGGGTTGTTACTTTACTGTTCAGTTTCCTCAAAAGGTATTAGAAATATTTGATCCAATCTTCCAGCTGAAAAGGCCACTTACAAAGATGGCTACAGGCCAAACCATGGCCTGAGAGATCATACATGTACTTTAAAAACAGGTGAAAAACAAGGAAGAAGGAAAAAAAGAAAGAAACTAAACTCAGGCATTTAGGAAGACACTAGTAACCAGCTCAATATCACAACATCCCTGTTGGCTGAAGTTTGAGTACCTAATGTTTGGCTAGAAACTTGTCTGCTTCCTAGCTAGAGTTAAGATACCATGAAAACAAGCCACAGTCAGTGGGAAAGGTCAAAGGATAAAAATAAATGCAGTTTAAAAGCACTGCAGCACCGCAATTACATCAAAATTGGGCAGTAGTTAAAGTACTACATTGGAGTCCAGGAACCAGTGCGACTTTAAGTATACTCCTGATCTAAAAAGTGACCGAATAAAATGGCTTTTTAAAATTTTATCTGTAAGATCTCCATAGGATAAATATCCAGAATTACATCTGTGGTTTCAGGTTACTACATGCTCTTGCAACCATTGCAAAACCACTGCAAGACAAACATGCTGGACAACTTACTCAGCATTAGAAAAACAGCTAAGGTCCAGTAACATGTTTAACCTGCTACATCTGTACTTTGAGATACCAGAAATCTCAGATTTTCTTCACTTTGTAATGTATTTATGACCACAGCAAACCCAGAATTAGATACTTCAGCCCAAGACTTAGACCATCTAAACATCTGCTTAGTTGCCATCCAGAGTCTGTAGGCATCTACGTTTACAATATTAACTGCCCAAACACCACCTAGTGTACTTTGGGAGGTGTAACTTAGTCATAACAGGGTCAGGAAGCTCACACCTCACCTCTCTACCACAACAGAACGGACAAAAAAGGGTTTTAACCCAAGCAGTTTTACTTGAGGTAACTGTAGTTGCAGAGGAGTTTAATTCACAGATACTTTCAGGGCAGAGCCATTGGATCAGACTCCCCCACAAAATACAGTGGTGAAGAACAGCTGAGTGGTGACTGCTTTGTACCACTAGCTCCATAGCCCCCTTATATAACAAGTCATGTAAACACTCATTAGGACAGCAATCATCCCCTCCCTGGTAAGTGGACTGACACCAGGTCACCCCATAGCAGCCTACACCCTGGTGGTGAAGATACTTTCCCACCATGAGGGAAACAGGAGTTTAAGCCTGCTTCACCCAGGAATGGAGACAAAACTAGCTTTCCACGTTTGTCGGCAGGCATCATGTAAGGAAGCTATATCTCCCAGCACTGTAGATCTCACTGCAGCTAATTTGGGGCTAAGGTTATTTCTGTTTAGTGGTAGAACAGGTACTCTTACCTTGGATATTCAACCAAATAGTCACTGCATTTAGCCATCACAGGAATGGTTTTGACAGACTATTGCTGAAATCTACTGAACTGTTTTTAAACTTTCAGGCAAGGAAGCCTTACGCAGAAGAAAAAGCCATTAAAACCAACAATTATTCTGAATTCATCCAAAGAAATACACAATGCAAGTATCCGCAAGATTCCTACTCACCTTTCTAAAGTCTGAAGTGCTTTCTTGTTTAATTCATCCTGAGCGCCCTTCAGAGTAGCTGTAGGACAAGATACAATGCCATTTAAGAGTTGAATTCCATGTTTTAGATTAAATAAATAGTTACACATGCACAGAGTATTTCAAACTGGGAGCATGAAAACTGTGGAAATCTGGTGGTGCGTGTGTTTGTGGCTGGAAAAGGTGCCAGCACAAACCCAGTATTTTAACCTGACTTTTCAATTTCATTTTTATTGAAGACTCTTCCAACTCCCTTGTCTGAAATGCTGAAGCATTTTTAACTTTCATATGCCACTGAAGGGGTCTGGGAGGAGAAGCGGACATAGGCTAACTGGATACTAAGAGCGTTAACAGGCCCTCTGCCAAGTTGGTGTATATGCTAAAAGCACTAACTAGCAGCATACTCTGGCTCAGATACAGACCGTCTCCACCACCGTCTTCACGTAGGAGGGTGTTGCAGGTTGAACAGGGAACACCAGGAGCCAAATTTACAGCTCCATGACAAAACACTTGACAACACACCACCTCCCTTGAGACCACAACAGACTTTTAGGCCACTTCAGGTGTGGCATTAGCCACTAATGCCCTCCTTGGTGCCTCTAATTGCTTGACAAAGGATCCTGCCCACTATGCTCACTTCTCAATGTGTGAATTAATTCCTAGCCAAAACCATAAAAGGAGGAGAAAAATCAAGTTCTTGTTATGCCAGGGTATCATAAGATATCATCATCATCAAGAGCAAGGGGAACAGACGAAGATTTTAGAGAAGCATGGCTTTCTCCAATCCAAAATATTTGGAAAGCTAGCAATAATTTTCAGAAGTACATCGGCTGTCTTGTTCTAGTTCTTAGTTTTCAGATTTTGCATAGCAGTTGTTTCTTGTTCTGCCTATCCTGAATTTGAGAGCTACTGATCAACAGCACAAAGAAGCGATAAGTAGTTAATCTATCAGCAAACATCCACCTATGAATATATTTGACTTTATACATCAAGTTAGTGTAAGCTCCAGAATAGAAAGCTAGTAAGTAGTATATACTTAAGCAACAAAACCAGATAAAATTGAAGTATTCTTAAAAGTTATTAAGAGGAAAGAGTTGTGGTGTTCTACAAGATGTACAAAGGTAATCAGTTTCTTTGGGTTCTGCAAAACACTAGTGAGTGAAACTTTGAAAGTAATTTATTTTGCCGAAGTAGTTACAATGATCAGATCTTTTTTGTTCCTACATCTTCCAACAGTTCTTCAAAACACCAGGTTCCTTTGGGAGGAACAGCAATCTTTAGGATTTCCCAAACCATAAAGATCAAAAATTGCTTATGCCACAAAATCTACTCTAAGTAGTAAAAACTGAACAAAAAATTTGCAGTTTAAAGAATAAATTTGAAGACATGGACTTTCATGCAAAGTGAAGGATTTATTAGAAGTAGCTGGAAATACTTCACTGTCAATAGTCTTAAACTGAGTATTCAGTTGCCAAATACTGGAAAAAGGTAACAGAGGAGGAAAATTTAGGAAAAAAATTAAAAGAATCAAGATTGATGTAAACATAAAAATGAGGAGACATTGGAAAGGATTTGATCATAGCTATAAACATTCATCCAGAAAAATATGTCAACTTCTGTTTCTCATGGAAACTACAAGATTCCTTATGTAAGTTACAGAGCAGTTCTGGAGATGCCACACAATGAGGAAGACAAATTTTACTATTTGCCCCCCAAAATAAACATAAAATGGAAAAACTAGGAGAACTTTTAGGTTCCACCTGGTAAGACATTTGACTGATGTTCAGCTTGCAGTCAGAAAGAGCACAAAATACGTTATGGAACTGAAGTGATTACAACTAGTCAGCTTTGCCTCTGCACTACTGGGAAACAGCATGTGAGTCCTACCTCCCACAATATGAACTGCACCTTCAGTTACAACTAAGTCAGAAATCTGGTTGCCTGTCTCTAGATTTGTGTCTGACTTGGATAAACACATTGACATTTGTGTTTGACAATATTGAGGACTGATGCTGCAAGTTAATCATGCCATTTACAGGGCCTTTACAGCTAAAGGAGATAAATTAGAAAAAAAAAAGCAACAAAAAGTGATTTGGGGAGGGATGCATAAAAAGAAGCTTGGCCAGCAGGTCAAGGGAGGTAATTCTCCCCCTCTGATCTGCTCTTGTGAGACCCCCACCTCTAGTACTGGGTTCAGCTCTGGGGCCCCCAATACAAGACAGACGTGGACTTACTGGAGTGGGTCCAGTGGAGGGCCATGAAAATGGTTAGAGGGATGGAGCACCTCTCCTATGAAGAAGGGCTGAGATAGTTGGGGTTGTTCAGCCTGGAGAAGAGAAAGCTCTGGGGAGACCTTATTGTGGCCTTTCAATACTTAAAGGGGGCTTATAAGAAAGATGGAGAGAGCTTTTCTTACCAGGGCCTGTAGTGATAGGTCAAGGGGTAATGGTATTAAACTAAAAGAGGGAAGATTTAGATTAGATGAAAGGAAGAAATTCTTTACTAGAGGGTGGCAAGATACTGGAACAGGTTGCCCAGAGATGTTGTGGATGCCCTACCCCTGGAATTGTTCAAAGAAGTCGTCACTGCAACCCACTTGTATCACTGAAAAGCTCTCACTTCAGACAAAGAAAAGCTTGCACCAAGGAGACAGAATCAGGTGGGTCTGACTAAATTTCTAAAAGTTGTGCTCCATTCTCCGAGGCTGACAGCACTAATGAATTCTTCAGCCTCTACCCAACCAGTAAGGCAGAGAGCACAGGGGAGTTTAAGTTTCTGCAACTTCATCGGTTATTCCTGTAAGACACAGTACTTTTGTAAATGCCACCTTAGGAGCCCAAGATTTATTTTCTAAAGCACTCTGGGTTTTTAGAGGAGCTTACACCTTACCAAAAGTCAACAGGATCTTCAGCAACATTTTGGTATCTGAATACGAAGCTCTAAAGTCACATGTGAAAACAGAGGAGGGCAAGTTCTCTGTTAGTAAGCAGGTGCAGCACAGTAGGTGGGAATGCATGGAGTGAAACACTTAATGCTGAGGATCAGCATCAACACTACAAACACGGGGACAGGGTCTAGTTCTAGTCTTGTCCCATGGACTGGACACCCATTAGCAGCTGCAGCATAATCAGGTCTATTTATGTAGCACATTAGTTTTATGGGAAAGAATTCAGTTTGTGTTGTGCAAAACTGTTCCACTATGTGAAGCACAACATAATTAGTGGGGATGATGGAGAGATGGAATTCAAAAATACATTTCTGATCCAAACTAATACACCAATGCATGCACCCTTTTGCACATATCAATGGGTTTCAAAAAAACATTTCCTTATGTTAAGACACCTAATATGGCAAGGTGTACAGTTTTAGCATCCAGAATTATAATAAGGATTGCATGTGTTGACTGTTATCTCCAGAAGCAAAAGCGATGTTCACCAATAAGCAATGCCTAATTTTATTTTTTTTTTTAAACATTAACTGGTGCTGTCAGTATACTGATTATTTATAAAATCCACAAGGACTGATAGAAAAAGTTTCCAATTCAGTCCCTCATCCGTGGCCTTATACCAATATTCTAAATGAACACAGAGATACAGCACACTCTCATCTCTGAAAGAGTGAGGGTCTGTTAAATCTACGACGACTTCATAATATGTGAGGTGGTGATGTTAGATAAGAAAAGCACTTGTATTTCACAATGCATTCTCAACCTGGTCGTTCCTCTTTAGCCTTTGTTAAATTCATCTCACCTTCCCCTGCCTTCAGTGGATTCTTCACCAGACCTAAGGGAGGCAAAGTTGACAATACAGCTTATGTGAAATCTGGAACTACAGGAGGAAGAGACAGGTTTGCTGTTGACATTGACCCATTGGGAACAGATCTGCAGAAAATTTAGCATAGCAATAGATGGACATTCTGTACTAACAAGAATTTGTGCTTCTAAGAGTGAGGCAAAAGTGGCAATGACTTCCTCTGAGGACACATCTTTCAGCTACTTCAAGAAGACTTATTTCAAGAAACATGTAATTAGACATTAAGAACAAGGAAGCTTCACATACTGCTACCCAGCATAAGTTTCAGAAAGTCTTACTTCATCCAGGAGTAAATCTAATAATTGTAAAATGACTTTTTATCAAATGCTCCCACGAGTTCTTTGAATCGTCATTCAGTAGGATTCTCTCTTCTGACTCCACTTTTTCAGCAAGTGCTTTTTGCAGGTTACAAAGAAAAGGCTTTAATGCAACTCCTCAGCGCCTTTGTCACACAGGAGGGGAAATATTTACTAAAAGGTTATATTAAATAAGAAAGCCTAACCTTGGATGGAAGGCATCTTGATATAATGCTGTAAGCTTTATAAGACAACTGGTCAAATGACTCTGAAACACTTAGCTACCACTGAAAATGCTGCCTCACTGAAAGTCAGCTCAAGTGGAAAGTTATGGAAATCATACAGATACACAGATGTTTGACTGTGTATCTGCATATGTCACTATGAAGTGGTATGAACACAGTGACAAAGATGATTGACAGTACGAGGCAGGATTACATAGGGGAGTTGCTATCTTCCTTTCAGCGTGTTCTACTCTTGCTTCCTTGCTGTGATAAGGTATTTTTTAACGATGCTAATGAAAAATGTCTTGTTAGTGCAAATTTGACATTTTCTAGTAAAATGCTGTTCCATATTCATGATCATCATAAGTATGCTTTTGAAGGACTTAATCCATTTCATTAAAATATAACCTGAAAGGTGGAAATACACTCTTCAGATGCCCCTCAAATAACTGAGTGACTGGCCCTGTTGACTTAAAGGCTAGAGATACAAGGAGAAGGCAAGTATTCCACTGTTTCACAACATAAATCAGATGCTAATCTGGAAAAAAATTCAAGGCAGTTGTTGTGAAGACTATTTATTTTACATTAAAAAGGACACTTATTACCACATCTGAACTAGTCTCTTGAAAACTCAGAGAAAACTTCTTTTCCAGAAGAAAAAAGTTTCCAAGTCACACCAAAGTATTTTTAGAGCCAGAGCACAGCACATGCCTCTACAACTCCATTCTTTAGAAACCACCTTCTTTCCATACTGAGCATAACAAATAGCTCATAATGGGCTAACATAGAAAACCTATCTCTGAAAATAGTCTCTAGGATCTTGTATAGCTTTAGGGACAGTTTAAACAAAATCTAGGCAAAATGCCCTAAAAAGCGAGGCTGTTAAGCAGAACTCAATGTTTAATGAACTTAAAAAAAAAAAAAAAAAGTACAAGAAAGTTCAGGCTAGGAAGGACATATGTTTCTTGACACGAACTTTCTTGGGGGAACTATTCTGAGACAGAGAGCTACAGTGCCTGTTAGCCTCCATGTTGGAAAGCAGTTCTCAGAACAGCTGATCAGATATGGTTGGCTGAAAAAAACGAAAAAACCACCAACTTGCACTACTGAAGAGCACAAGCCACTTCCTCATACACATGCCTTGCAGAATTCTGGTGTAATCTGCAAGGCCAGCATACTTCCATGAGACCATACAGTCATTTCAGCTTTGTTTCAGGCTCATTTGCTGGAAGAAGTTGGTTCGTTTCTATGGGACCCATCTGACAGCAAAGCCATTGCTTGCACGTGGGCAGGACTGCCAAATTCATTAGGAAACTCACTAGCTCCGCCGTTATTCAAACAAACTATGTTAGAAGGCCTTCTGCCTATGTTAGAAGTTGTAGAAGAAACAAAGACTGTTCCCCACCTGTGAGCTTGATGAAGGTCAGAGCTAGAACTCTCCCAAACACTGGGACTTCAAGCCCTTCTGGCTACCAAGCACCATATCTGCAGGAGCCCATTGTCCAGTCATTCAAAACCCAAGCCAGTAGCATTAAAATAAGATACTTCTTACATTCAGTGGTCTGTATCTAGTCAGCATCCACACGTACCAGTGAGGTAGATATTTTTATCTTGTTTACTTCTAAGCAGAGAAAGAAACGACATCACAGAGAGGTTGAATCTCTGTGGGGAATCAGTATCACGCCAAGAACTGAAGTCAGGCATTTCTGACTCCAGTTCTTGGATTGTATTTCTTTACGTGATTTACGAGTGGGTGACAAAAATATGAAAATAGATGGAAAGTCTGAGTTTTTGTTGTGTAAATAAGTGAAAGAAATGTATTGCAAATATTCAAGTAAAGCACACGAAACATTGTCAGCTACAGTCAAATTATCACCTCCTAAGTAATGATTTGTATTTCTGCCTTTACGTAAAAACTTCACTTTTATTACCACAGAAGAGCAAGTGAACAGTCCCCATTTGTCCTGCAGTCTGATTGTTTTTCATGTCCAGCCAGCACTAAAAGCAGAGTTCCTAATAAATTTCCATTGCTTGCACTGAAGACTTTGAACAGATGCTCTCCATACAACACACCTGACAAAGAGGGTAACTCACCATCAGTAGCTTGAAGACTGTATGTCAGGCCCAGTGCCAGGTAACCCTTTGCTAGGGACTCTCCAGCATCCTCACCCAGGTCTATCACCATTTTAGCAAAGTATTCTCCTTCTTCCAGCTGCAAAAGAGGTAGGGAGAGACTTAGAGGCACTTCCTCTATACTTGCTTTGATAAGATTATCCCATTAAAGTTCATAGAATCATAGAATGCTTTGGGTTGGAAGGGACCTTTAGAGGTCATCTAGCCCAACCCCCCTGCAGTGAGCAGGGACAGCTTTAACTAGATCAGGTTGCTCAGAGCCCCGTCCAACCTGACCTTGAATGTTGCCAGGGATGGGGCCTCTACCACCTCTCTGGGCAACCTGTGCCAGTGCTTCACCACCCTCATTCTAAAAAACTTCTTTCTAATGTCTAGTCTAAATCTGTTCTTCTTTAGTTTAAATCCATTATTCCTTGTCCTGTCACAACAGGCCTTACTAAAAAGATTCTCCCCATCTTTCCTGTAGGCCCCCTTTAAGTATTGGAAGGTCGCAATAAGGTCTCCCCACAGCCTTCTCTTCTCTAGGCTGAACAATCCCAACTCTCTCAGCCTGGCCTCATAGGAGAGGTGTTCCAGCCCTCGGATCATTTTGGTGGCCCTCTTCTGGACCTGCTCCAGCAGGTCCATGTCCTTCTTGTGCTGAGGGCCCCAGAGCTGGACGCAGTACTCCAGATGAGGTCTTACCAGAGCAGAGTAGAGAGGCAGAATCACCTCCCTCGACCTGCTGGCCACGCTTCTTTTGATGCAGCCCAGGATACGGTTGGCTTTCTGGGCTGCAAGTGCACATTGCCGGCTCATGCCCAGCTTTTCATCCACCAGTACCCCCAAGTCCTTCTCCGCAGGGCTGCTCTCAGTTACCTGTAAGTGATCTGGGAGCCATTCATACACGGGCTTTCAGTGATCACAGTAAACACTCATAGAAAGGAGGACGTAGAAGGTCAGATTAGCAGACCTTGGTGCACATGCACAGTTTTGAGAAAAGTTTTGGGTTTGTTTTACGCATCCACACCAAAGTATTTCCAGATGTTTAAGGTTAATGAAGGACACTATCTTATTTTTATATTTCCCTTCAGGCACGCTTCAATCACACAACCTTAAATAAAATGTTGGACCAACTGACTACTTATACAGTATCCTAGCAGTACATTGAAAGGTCTAACAACTTTCTTCCTTCAAAGGAATACCATCTAGTTTTGCTGTACGATGTTTTTAAACCTTAGCAAATTTTATTTCCTTTAAAACGTTTTAAGAGTAAAACAAGAAAGCACTTCACTGCAAGCTGAGTTCAGCTACTGCTTGCAGTTCTGCTGCCACAAGAAGGAGGCAGCAAATTCAGGACACAAATTTTGATCTGAAATACCACACTACTTTAGGAGCTCATGCTGTACTAGCCACATTTTGCATCTTTTGCAAAGACACAATTTCCTTGAAAATGCATTTTATATTACAGATTGTAATGGGGAGAGAAAGCAGCCATGACCTCTCAGCATCAGCTTCCAAAATGGTGAAATACTTAAGTTAGTCTCTTCTACTACAGTACAGACTGCTTCCCCCAACCTTCCTTTCCAGCTGACCACATGGATCTAAGTCTATGAAAATATAAAGCTTTAGTATCTTTAAAATATGAGTTAATGATAATTTTAAACAAAAAAATTGAATATTTTATTACAGAATAGAGAGTTCTTAATTTCTAACCTTAAACTGTCATTAACATCACTCACCCATTATAAGTAGAAAAGACTAAGATCTGTAGACTGTACATATCTGGGAAGGTGTAGGTTGGAGAGGTACAGGCAGAAGCTGTAAGTAATGCTTGAAAGACATAGAGCCTACAGGACGAACTAATTTCTGTACAAGATAGTCTGCAGATCCTGTCAGCCATAATCAGTCATCCCTAATCAAGAACCAGACACCATTACACTATCCAAAAATTCCTCCTTTTGGAAAATTTTATTACATGACAACTGACTTTCTGGGATGGGCTTGTTTAATTTTGAGGAAATACATTTTTGTTTGAAATCCAACTATTTTAGACACAAGTACTGCAGACATAACTGAAACACTCTCTCTTAATACTCAGCTTTGTCAGACTTCAGCACCTCATAGTTCCTTAACACCTAAAATGGGGTCACCCATAATGAACTGGAATCAAAACATACCAGCAGACCAGAAACTTCCCTTCTGCAGTGATCTGTTAATATGCTACCTATGAAGAGAACCTACTTGACTTGATATACTACCCTCCTAGTTAACATCACTTGAAGACATTCAGGTGACAACATTAACTAACAGCTTCATAAACAAAGGAGCTGGTATTTATTAGATGATATCACACATAAGAAAAAAGTTACTGTTAATGTAAGCATGAAGAAATGCTGAAAAGTGCAAGTGAAGAAGCAATCTCCACTGCTTGGGTCTTTTCCTCACTTGTACAGCTCCTTGAGGCCATACAATTCAAACTAGATGTAGAACAATAGTTCCCAAATTTCTGAAACCTTGGATCAGTCAGCCCAGTGACCAACGTATATTTTATTATCAAACTCTTCTGTGAGAGCACTATGAAAGCGTTACAGTCTTGCCGATTGCCTAGTCAACTATGAATCTGGAAACTACTAACTGAAACTGGAATGCTCCCTTAGGCCATACTTGGGGCTACCAACTAAATTGCAAGGACTGTCTTTAATGGCATAATCCAAAGTCTACTGAAAACACTGGAAATAGTCCTACTGATTTCAGTGATGCTCAGATGAGATGCTTTAAACTCTGATCGCATCAGGAAGACTGAGATTTGTTCCAGGAGATTTCTTAATCCTGTCAGTAGCCCTATTGACTTCCCTGCCACATACTGAGGCACATGCTGGACCACAGCCTAGAACAATGGAAGAAGAAAATGTCCTGTGACTTGCCACACAGAAAAAACCAAAACAAA